AGTGTAAGGTCCTCCAGGTTCACCCATGTTATCACAAATGACAGAATGTCCTTCTTTTTAAAAGCTGAATAGTATTCCAATGTGTATATCTAGCACATTTTCTTTATCCATTTATACTTCAATGAATAATTTGATCCCATATCTTGGCGATTTTGAAAATGCTGCAGTAATCATGGGGCTGCAGATATCTCTTCAGTACACTGATTTCACTTCCTTTGAATCTATATCCAGGAATAGGATTGCTGGATTGTACAGTAGTTCTATTTTTAATTTTTTGAAGAATCACCATTTTCCATAATGACTGTACTAATCTGTATTCCCACAAATAGTGTACAAGCATTCCATTTTCTCCACATCCTTGCCAATATGTTATCTTTTGTCTTTTTGGTAATAGCCATTCTAACATGTGTAAAGTTATATCTCATTGTGGTTTCTGTTTGCATTTCCCTGATGATTAGTGATGCTGAGCATCTTCTCATATACTTGTTGGCCATTTGTATGTCTTCTTTTGAGAAATGTCTATTCCAGTCTTTTGCCCATTTTTAAAAGAGGTTATTTGTTTTCTTGCTATTGAGCTGTATGAGTTCCTTATATATTTCAGATATTAACTCTATCAATTTGTATGGTTTGCAAATATTTCTTCCTATTTCACAGTTTGCCTCCTTATGCTGTTGATCATTTCCTTTGCTGTGCAAAGCTTTTTGGTTTGATGCAATTCTATTTGTCTATTTTTGCTTTTGTTGCCTATACTTTTGGGGTCACATCCAAAAAATAATTGCTTAGACCAATGTCAAGAAGCTTTTTTCCTATATTTCCTTCTAGTAGTTTTACAGTTTCAGGTCTTAATCTAGTTTTAGTTAATATTTGCATATAGTGTGAGATAAGGATTCACTTTCATTCTTCTGCATGTGGATGTACAGTTTTCTCATCACCGTTTGTTGAAGAGACCATCTTGTCCCCATTGTGTGTATTTGGCACCTTTGTCAAAGATCAATTGGGCATAAATGTGTGCATTTATTTCTGGGCTCTGTATCCTATTCCATTTTTTATCCCAGGACCATGTTGTATTGATTACTATGACTTTGTAATATAATTTGAAATCAGGTAGTGTGATCCTTACATCTTTAGTCTTTTTGCTCAAGACTGCTTTGGCTGTTCAGGGTCTTTTGTGGTTCAGGAATTTTAGGATTGTTTTTCCTTTTCTTCTTCTTTTTTGTTTTTTCTCTTTTGAGATAGAGTCTTACTTTTTCACCCAGGCTGGAGTGCTGTGGCACGATCTCAGCTCACTGCAACCTCCGTCTCCAAGTTTCAAGCGATTCTCCTGCCTCAGCCTCCCAAGTAGCTGGGACCACAGGTGGGCACCACCACACCTGGCTACATTTTGTATTATTAGTAGAGGCAGGGTTTCACCATGTTGGCCATGCTGGTCTCGAACTCCTGATCTCAAGTGATCTGCCCACCTTGGCCTCCCAAAGCGCTGGGATTACAGGCATGAGCCACCCAGCCTGGTCAAGGATTATTTTTTCTGTTTCTGTGAAAAATGACATTGGGATTTTGATAGGGATTGCATTGACTCAATAGATCACTTTGTTTAGATGGACATTTTAACAATATTAAATTATCCCAGTCCATGAACACAGAATACCTTTCCATTTATTTGTGTTTTCTTTAATTTATGTCATCAGTATTTTATAGTTTTCAATGTACAGATCTTTTACTTCCTTAGTTATTCCTATATGGGATTATGATGTTGATTTCTTTTTGGGACAGTTCATTGTTAGCGTATGGAAATGCTACTAATATTTGTATGTTAATTTTATATCCTGAAACCTTATTGCATTTGTTTATTAGTTGTAATAGTCTTTGGTGTGGAGTCTTTAGGGTTTTGAATATTTAAGATCATGTCATCTGCAAACAGACAATTTTACATCTTCCTTCCCAGTGTGGATGCCTTTTCTTTCTTTCTCTTGCCTAATTGCTCTGGCTAGGACTTCCAGTACTATACTGAATAGTAGTTGTAAGACTGGACATCCTTGAGGCCGGGTGCGGTGGCTCATGCCTGTAATCCCAGAACTTTGGGAGGATGATGCCAGTAGATCACAAGGTCAGGGGAAGGAGACCATCATGGCTAATATGGTGAAACGCCGTCTCTATTAAAAATACAAAAAAATTAGCCAGGCATGGTGGCATGTGCCTGTAGTTCCAGCTACTTGGGAGGCTGAGGCAGGAGAATCGCTTGAATCCGGGGGGCGGAGGTTGTAGTGAGCCAAGATTGCGCCATTGCACTCCAGCCTGAGTGACAGAGCGAGACTTCATCTCAAAAAAGAAAAAAAAAAAAAAAAGAGTGGGCATCCTTGTCATGTTCCTATGATTTAGCTATGACTTTAGAGTTTAGAGCGGGTACTAAATGTATTAAGATTCTTGTGGCTTTTGAGATGGAAAGAATGTATTTGCATTCAAGAGTGCATGAGTTTTGGGTGCTAGGAATGGAAGGCTATGAAATGAATTCTGTTTCCCCAGAATTCATAGGTTGAATCTCTAACCTGTAATGTGACTGTATTAGAAACAGAACCTGTAAGGAGGTGATTAAGGTTAAATAAGGTCATGAAGGGAGGGTCCTGGTCTCTTTGGATTAGTGCCCTTACAGGGAGAGACACAAGAGAGCCTGCCCTCTCTCTGCCCAGAAAGAAGAGGTTATATGAGCAAACAGGGAGATGGTGGCTGCCTACAAGCCAGGAAGAAAGGCCTCACCAGAAACTATGTTGGCAGTTATCTCAGACTTACAGCCTCCAGAATTGTAAGAAAATAAATGTCTGTGGTTGAAGTTAGTCTATGGTACTTTGTTGTGGCAGCCTGAGTACAGACTAATATATCACACAAGTGCCACACATACGTGCTGTACCTGCTATGCAAGTGCATATGACACTCAGGAGTTGCACATATACATATATGCATGTTAAATGTATGTGATACACCATGTTTTATATAATGCATGTCTTCTCTCCCCCCTTCTTTATTTAGCTATCTATAAACATACATACATAGATTGAGAGAGAGCAAAGAAGCCCTGATCTCCATGCCCGAGAATTAGCTTAACTCCATTCTGTGACCTCATACTCAAGCCCTCACCCTGGTCATATGCCAATGCCAGTGATCCATGCCTTTGACCCTAGGGCAGCTAAGTTATAGCTAAGTCATAAAACTTAGGAATACAATACTGAAAAAAAAAATCTTACATAGGTCAGCAGCACCATCTGTACCTAAAACAGCTGTCTATAAATAATTTTGTTACCATAAAGGTCTTAATTGTAATAAGAATATTTATACCTGCTCTAA